AGATCAAGCTCAAAGGCCGTTGAATTTATTTACTATTGAAAAGAAGAATCAGAGGATTCATAGAGATTGTACACTCATATTATTTGAAATAAAATTCTAAGATTGTTGCAATATTTTTTCGGTCTTGATTTTATTTTCTCGATGCAATTTATTATCTACACCTTGTTATGCAACAAATGTAGCATCTTGTTTGTGATTTGAAATGATTCCGCTTGTATCCGAGGGACAGCAATTGCGGTTGCCAGATTTTCGACGGTGAATTGTGCAAAATCATACAATGCTGCTTCTGGCACAAGAGGCACCATACCCTGATTGTTCGGGTCATTCGTATTATTTCTGTTGTTTGGATTTTCTATTACGTCATCCATGTTTGGTTCGATTCGTTCTGTTGAGTTATGTTGCTGTTTGCCCTTCTTGTTTGCACGATTCAGTGCCTTGGAAACCTTTTCAGGATCTGATAATGCTTCGAACAATTCAGCAGTTCTTGAGGAGTTTCTAGGCATGCACTTGTAACACCCAAGACTACAGACGTTAGAATTTCATAGTATTTAGTTTAAAATGAAGAAAATTGGCTACACTACGAATTCTAGCACTTCTTTTAGCTGCAATTAATAACACCATTAAGTCCCCGGTAACGGCGCCGAAATTTGATCATGCCCAATTATACCTTATAAAAAGGACTAAGCGGTTGTTGCAAATATATTATGGTTAACAAGTCCGGAGTCGAATCTCACAGAGAATTAACCTATTAAGCACAGCTACTAGACTCATACAAATTCACGCAATCAATCTTCAAAAATATTTAACTAACAAATTTGATGTTTACTAACTAAATATCACGTAATGAAAATGCAGTAATTAATAACTAACTACGAACATGTTGTAGACAAGAATTGGAATGATCTAAGGTTATGATTTCCCCTATTGTCAGAATCCTTTCCGCTATGTTTCCTATAAATTTGTTTAAGTTTTCTCTACCGGTCATGAGCTCTCTAAGTGTCGTAATTCTCTCCCGAGTAACTACCACAATTTACTAGACATATTTTTCCGAATTACGCTAGCTGGCACTAAGTACGTCTCACTCGGATCGCACCAAGGTTTCGTTATTCCTAATCCCACCTTTAAACCCTCTTTATTGATCCCTTATTTACGTTAGGAGTGATGTTGTTCAACAACTACCTAGATATGCACTCTCTTACGAGCAATACACACTAAATAGGTACAGTTGATTGAGAGCTCTTCAACCAACCACAATATAAACGTAGTTGAACAAATAGAGAAAAAGCTACGGCAAATCTATATTAACATAACTGGAAAATCATCCTCCAATAGGTTCCATCAAAACCCTAGATTAGGAGTTTAGCTACTCATACTCGTAGTAACAATATCCCGGGTATTTTGCATAAATAAATTACAAACTAAAGACGAAGGAATGTAAAAATCGATGGTTCTATCTCCTAACAGGTGTTTCACGAGCTATTCTTGTGTGACGAACCGGCCAGTCGTCTCATGAGTTACCGCTCCGTTTCCCCCATTTCTGCTTATTTATGTTTTGTTATCCGTGTTTCATGTGATCAAGTTGAATAGTTTGCGTTCGGAGTGGTTTTGGCAAGAAATGAGACACTTAGTCTCTTTTAAGAAGGTTTAAGTTGGAAAAGTCAACCGGATATTGACATATGTGTTAGAGGGCTCGGATGTGAATTCCGGTTGTTTGGTTAGCTTCAGGAGGTGATTTGTGACTTAGGAGCGTGAGCGGAACTGGTTTTGGAGGTCCGGTGTAGAATTAGGCTTGAATTGGCGAAGTTAGTATTTTGGCGAGTTCCGGTTGATAAGTGAGAATATGATCCGAGGGTCGGAATGGAATTCCGAGAGTTTCTGTAGCTTTGTCATGTCATTTGGGATGTGTGTGTAAAATTTCAGGTCATTCGGACGTGGTTTGGTTGGGTTTTTGATTGAAAGCGTATTTCGGAAGTTTTTAGAAAACTTAGGCTTGAATTCGATGAATTTTGGGTAATTTGATGTTGTTTGAGGTTTTTTGATGATTGGAGCAAGTTTGAATGAGGTTTTAGGATGTGTTGGTGCTTTAGGTTGAGGTCCCAGGGGCCTCGGGTGAGTTTCGGGTGGTCAATCGGACCATTTTCTAAGTTTAAAAGTTGTAGATTTTTCATTTCAGGTGTTGCAGAGAAGTTAATCTTCGCGTTCGCGTAAAGAGCCTCGCGTTCGCGAAGGAGGAATTGGGAGGCAGGTGATTTGCTCTTCGCATTCGTGTCTGAGGGTCCGCGTTCGCGGAGGGCCGGATGGTTTTGCTTCGCGTTCGCACAAGGCCTCTCGCGTTCGCGCATAAGGAATAGGGGTTCAGTCTATATTGGTCTTCGCGTTCGCATGAGTGATGTCGCGTTTGCGTAGGAGAGGAAGGCTGAAGCATCGCGTTCGCGGGTTGAGTCTCGCGTTCGCATAGAGTTAATTTTGGAAACATAAAAGATGTGCTTCGCGTTCGCGAGGCAGTGGTCGCGAACGCGATGAAGGAATTCCAAAACTGGGCAGAAAGTTTATAAACATTTCATCCGCAATTTTTAGTCATTTTTCCTCCATAGCTGAGCAATTTGAGAGCTTTTTGAAGGTGATTAAAGAGGGATTGAAGAAGAATTGATTGGAGGTAAGATTTTTGAACCTAAAACGTGATTTTATTGTGTAATCTACCTAGAAATTCATGGAACTTAAGCTAAAATAGAAGAAACTAGGGCTTGGGATTTTGAAATTTGATTTAGGGATTTGAAGGACCATTTGAGGTCGGATTTGAGAGATTTTGGCATGTATGAACTCGTGAGGAGATAAGGAACCCGTTGATGTAAAACTTTCTGAGTTTCAAGAAGTGGGCCCGGGGCTCGGGTTTTGCTAATTTCGGGATTTTCGATTTTTTTCGATTGTTTTCGCTTGGGCTTTGTTCCCTTAGCATATTGTGACGTATTCGTTCTGATTTTGGATAGATTCGACGCGCGTGGAGGCCGATTCGAGGGGCAAGGGCGTCGCGAGCTAGAGATTTAGCCGGTTCGAGGTGAGTAATGATTGTAAATGACGTTCTGAGGGTTTGAAACCCCGGATTGCACATCGTAGTGCTATATTGAGGTGACTTGCACGCCGGATAGCGAGCGTGGGGTAGAGCACCGTTGGGGATTTGGGACTTGGTATGTCCCGATTGATAAATTTACCGCGCATTTGACTCAAACTTACTTGTTATTATCATGATTTGGATTGATCGTCATATTTGGGCTTCTTGCCAATTATCTGAAACCTTCGGGGATTTTTATCACTATTTCCTCAGTGTTTTGACTTATTACTTAAACTCAGTCGTGATGCTTTTCACTGTTTTACTACTCAGCCATTTTTACTCGGTTTTTGAGACTTAAATGATATTTTAGATGATGTTTGGGCTGAGAACTACTGTTTTATTGATGCCCGAGGGGCTTATGTGATCTTTGGACTGTGTATGGTCGTGGGCCAGATGTGAGGATACACTGATACTATTTATGAGGTCGAGGGCCTGGATTTGATGCCACAAGATGGCTTGATATAGCGCTTGGGCCATAAGGGGCCCCTCCGGAGTCTGCACACCCCCAGTGAGCGCGAGTACCCATTGTGATCTGATAGTGAGCCCGAGGGGCTGATATTGTTCTGAGAGAGAGAGAGAGAGCCCGAGTGGCTGGTACTGTTCTATGTGTTTATTTTCTTTATCTGTCTGTACATTAATTGCTTAACTGTTGTAGAGGTATTTCATTCTGTTTTCATTGGGTTACTGCTTTATATTACTTGTTTAACTGTTGCAATATAGATTACCTTGTGTTCACGTGATTTCTTATTCTCAGTCGTTATTTATGCTTATTACTCACTGGGTCGGAGTACTCACATTACTCCCGGCACCGTGTGTGCAGATTCAGGCATAGCAGGTCCCGCTCCCGAGTGTTGACTCGTCCCAGCTCGGGCGGATCTTTGAGGAGACTTTAGGTAGCGGCTGGCGTTCGTAGCCTGGAGCTCCTCTCTATCTATATCTTTACTTACCATTTCAGTACTGAGACTCTGTAGTTATTTTTGAGAGATTTGTTATCTTAGACGCTCGTGACTTGTGACACCTCGGTTTGGGTTGTGTCGGGATGGTTTCCCCTTATTGTTATTTATGTTTCCGCGAATTTATTACTATTTAATCATACTTTAAACTGTTTTATGATCATTAATGGTGTTAAACGGTGTATTGTATTAGTCTGGCTGGCCTTGTCTTCACGAGAGGCGCCATCACGACAGGGTTCGGGGTTAGGGTCGTGACATCTTGCCTCCGGTCGAAAAAACTCCTTCAAAAGTGGTGTTTAATGCCTATTTATATGTGTAAAAAAAGACCTAAACGACATAGCCCATGTCCTAGTCAAACCAGGAGATGAAATAAGCCTTCAAAATCCGGATCAGGCTCGCCTCAGACCGTGCCTCGCGAGGTACAATGCGAGATGAACCTCGTCCCAGACCATGCGACGCCTGCCTCCACGCGAGCTCAACCTCGCCTTATCCCTCGCTTTGCATGCTCCCACGCGAGCTCAAAGGTCGCCTCGCCAGCTTCCACGCAAGCTCAAAGGCTCGCTTTGCCTGCTGCTTCATTTCTTCCGCTGCTCAATTCTTTCTTTCGTCTTTCCAACTTTTTTCGAGCACTCTTTATACTTACATATTCCTTTTGCTCTAATTTCATCTCGGATGCACCTACACATAAAATAGACTCCAGTATGCGCCAATAAAGTACAGCTTAGTATAAACGCATCTAAAATGCTAGGTAAATAATGTGCTCATATATGAAATTATAACCGCACGTCACTTATCCCCACTACAAAGATATGGTAGCATACAAAGGTCAACATGCCTGCTTAGGATTATTGGATATTTTGGTCATTTCAGGTCTATCAGCTGACTCGTTGTATTAATAGATCAACACGTGGATTGCTTTTTGGACAGCTGCGGAGTAATTAACCTACACTTTACCAAAAGCTCTTGTCTGCAAACAGACAACGCCCTTCCCTTGCTCATCTCATGCTCATCTTCTTCTGATCTTTGCACTATGGCGGATTACTGTGGTAATTACTCATTTTTGTCTCTTGTAATTCTTCTATCATGACTATCATCTTCCGTATGGGTTTCGTCTCATTGCTGTAAAAGTATGGATTTTAATTTAAATTTTAATTTTTAGAGCTTGAATTTATGGTTGTCATATACTTTGAAAATTTTACTGCTTTTCTTGGGTTGTTGAATTAGTTAGCTTTATTATATATTTATACCCAATTCAACGTATTGATTCTTTTATATGAACTTTTATCTCTGGATTTCTTTTCTACGTCGTGACCTTTGGATTTCTCTTAAAGCTCTATTATTGAGTTTGCAAATCCAATTTATATGTTCTAAAGATTGGATTTTTAGTGTTTTTTGTGGGTTTTACATTTGTGGCTTTTGAATATTTTAAATTATATTTGAATTTTTGCATATCTTAAGTTTTTTATTTGTCCGTTCTCATTCTAAGAGAAGCAAAAGTGTTAATACTACTGGATTAGCACATGTTCATACAGTAAACGAAATTAGTCTGATGCGCTTGCTGTACTATCTGAAGTATTTACTAATTTATTTTATGATTTTGCTATGACTTGTTTCAAGTTGAAAATTATGGTTTGCCAATATTTATGGACATCCTAATTCATTTGTTTGGAGAAATAATGCTGAATAAATAAAGGGTATACATTACTACCTTAAAAAAGATATAGTTTGTTCCCAAAAGAGTTGCTATATAAGATACCTATATTTTATTTCTTTTATTTACACATCAAAACGAAATAATCAGTTTATGAAGGTCAACATGTCTGCTTCCATGGATTAAAAATTAATCTGAGGATACTTCTGTCATTTCAAAGCTTTTACAGCTATTCATTCCATTACATAGCTTAACACGTGGATTCCAATTTTAACTCGTGGAACCAGCGCTACTTTCTCAGCTAAATCTCGAACAACCATGGAGAGGTAACGCCATCTCCAACTATCAAAAATCCAGAACGTGTGCTCTCTCCGTCTTTCCTCTTGTTGTCAAGTTAGCACTTCAGTGTGTTTTCTTCCGTCAATCGTATTTCCGGTGGGTACCTCTTCTGTCATCTCTTTGATTCATCTTTATCTATTATCGATATTTCTCTTGAGGAGTATCAATGGATTTTGGTCTTCAATAAATTACCATTTCTATTATGGCTTTTGTTCTCTAGGTGTTTGAGAAAATTTTTCAATGAATTACCATTTCTGTTAAATTTCTTACACATATTTTCATCTTCTTTATTTTTTAAGTGTTTGTGATTCATCTCTATGTATTTCTCTTGAGGAGTATCAATGGTTTTTGTTCTCATTTCGCTGGGGCTAAATTATATAAGAATGGTTGTAAATAATGCTATGTGATCATCATCTTTCTTACACATCAATGGTTTTGACTACAAATGAATAATTATCGTAATTTATGAAGTGATCGATTCTTCATAAATGCAAAAAGGATGGACATACTTCTGACAATGAATAATGGCTTCTCTCTGTTTCCAACTTATTCCTTCAATGAAAAGTGTGATAGTACTACATGTGATTTTTTGTAGCCTGTTTTCCCTTTCTTTTCTAATGGTAAAAGGATCAATTTTGGCTAAAAAGTGGAGTCTTAATTGAGGTTTCTATTGATACTTGTACCCTAAATCTGTAGTAATTTCAGAGATTCAAGTTTGCATTGGCTGGTATTAAAATGAAAATGGAATTTGTACCTTGCTTTTAAGTCATAAAGGGATCACTTGGCAGAAAGGTTGCTCCTTTATTGGGAATACAATTTCTTTTCTGGGATTATAATTTGTTATGGCAATTTTCTACCTAAATGCGTAGTAAATCTAGAGGTTGAAGTGTCCCTGTGTAACCTGCACTTTCTTGGGTGCATACCAGTGTTGTACTGCTGCTATGCCTAGAGCAATTTAGCAACTTTAGGAGAAGACTGTAAACTGATCATCCATACTAACAAATATTTTGACCAACGGTAAAGATTCTCTCATCAAATGTTGGAGGAGAGAATACCTTTATAAGACTGAAGTTTATTGGATGAGATAGCTACAAATAACCTTGAATCAAATACAGCAATAACTAGCTCCAAAGAGCACAAACAACCAGATAGGTTCGCATTTGACTGATGCTGCACTATTTGGTGTATAAGCACTGTAGAAGTTAGCAGTATCTTCTGCAAAAGTTTTGGACAATAAAATAGCATTATTTTTCCATATAACAGCTAAATCATGCTATAAAACCCCTCTCTGCCAGATAAAGGGACCTGCTGCAAAAAAAAACCTTTTCTTTTTCTGAAGAACTAAACTTAAATCGTGCAAAGCAACTACCATAACATTCAACTATGCCCTTCACACAGAACAATCACAAAGATGAAAACTTTGAGAATTTTAGTAAAAGGGGATTCAAGAACAGTGACGTACTGCTATATTCATTAACTCAACTCTTCAACTTTTTTAATGAGACCCCTATGGTTAAAAATTTTCAAGAAGGCCCATAGTTTCTTAAAAATCATAATTTTACCATCCAGCAATTACAACCAAATTCAACTAAGCCTTTTATATGAACAATCACAATTCACAAAGTTAAAATAAAGATTGAGAAATGGTAAATTTAGAACCTAACATATTTAAAATGGAATAAATTTATTGTGGCTATGTATTGCGTTTGCTTACTTTTATATTGTTAGTAGAATAAATAATAAACTGTGGTGCCTAAAGTCTACTAAAGTACTTTTCTGTTTGCTTTTTTTGAACTATTTGAAAAGCAGATATTCCGCCGTACTAAGCCTGTGAAGAAATGTCTTCCAACCAAAGGAACAAACGTAGATGTACAGAAAATACAAACTCTAAAAAGAAACTAAGGCGACGTGATACGTATGGAAAGATATCAGCTGATGAAAAAGAAGCAATGTTATTACAGCGACGCACCACAAAAATGGAGCTAAAAAAATGCAATGATTCCATAAATCAGTTGTTGATTGTCCAGCTGAAAGAATAAAGTGCTCATGTGACACAATATTGTCAAAACAGACTGCTCTTACTATAAGATAGTCTTCTTCTGATAATGCCGAAGGTTGGATGTCAAATTGCTTCTTCTTTGCTTCTATTAGTTTGCCTGAATATTCACCTGCTGTGAAATGTGTTCCATATTTTGTGCAGTAGGCACCAATCATGAAACTCCTATTTTATCAACTCCTATTGATAAAGGAAAAGAAGTCGGTCAGTCATTATGTGTGTTTGAAAGAGGTAAGGTTACAACATATACCTTTATCTTTGTTACTTCATCAAGTTATAGGCATGCATCTTAATAAAAGAAATTGATGCACCAGGATCATGCATCTGAGGGACAACAAAATGCCTTTATTGAACTTGTTACCAACAAAGGTTAGTCTTAATCGTTCAACTAACATTACTCATTATTTGAATTTTTGATCGGTTTGTAAACACAAAGTGCACTTACTATAAAACAGGCTTCCTCTGCTAATGTGAAAGGTTGGAATGACATATTGGGTTATCTCTATTTCTGTTACATTACCTGAATACTAATTTACTGTTGAATGTATTTCATATTCAATGTAGTAGGTGGTAGCTATGAAGTTGGTAGTTTATCAAGTTCGTTTAATACAGGAAAAAGTATCTCTCATCCATTTTGTGTATTTGAAAGAGGTAAAACTACAACCTCCAGCTTTATCTTTGTTATCACATCATAACTTAGGTACATTTAAATTATAAGAATTTTTGTATCAGGATCAACATCTGAAACATGTAAGAGTCAACAAGATGTCTCCGCTAAAGTTTTTTCAAACAAAGGTTAGCATTACTTTTGTGTTAAAGTAACATTATGCAGTGGTAGAATTTATCTCAGCCTTTATTTTTACCAATTCTCATAATATGAATATTTACTTACTGTGAAATGTGTTTCATATTCTATTTAATAGGCACCAGCTATGAAATTCTTACTTTATCAGCTATTTTTGACAAAGGAAAAGAGGTAAGGCTACAACCTCTACCTTTAACTTCGTTACTTCATCATGCCATAGGCGTACATGTAAATTAAAAAAAATTAATATACCAGGATCAACATCCGGTACATCTAAGGGACAACAAAATGCATCTACTGAAGTTGTTACCAATAAAGGTTAGTCTTAATTTTACGTTCAGCTAACATTACTCATTATTTGAATTTTTGCTTACTCTTTATTTTTAACAATATTTATAACATACAGGTTATAGATTGAACAAAATAGTCTATACGAAAAATAATGAAAATAACTTAGATTATGCACGCTTAAAAGTCGTTCCAAACTGTAAATTTGGCAATGCAAAAAGGTTTCAGTATGAACCACCTGGATTTTGTTGTGGCAGTGGGTCAGTAAAGTTAGTTCCATATCAACTACTTAATGAATTATCAGATTTGTACACAGGCAACATTCAAGAATCTAAGCACTTTCGAACATACATTAGAACATACAATAATATGTTTGCGTTTACCTTACTTGGTGTAACCAATGATAAATATTTAGCAAGGAGATATCATGGTATATATACATTTCGAGTTCAGGGACAAATGCATCATTTTATACCTGATTTACTTCCTTCTGATAAAAAAGTTAAGAATCTGTAGTTATACTTCTACGATAATGAAAATGAACTTGCTAACAGAATGGCCTGTTCAATGAATATCAACGAATCAATTGTCAAGAGACTTGTGAATGTTCTCTCAGTTAATCCATACTCCATCTTTCTGAAATCCCTGGCAAACGTTCCGAAACTATGCGATTCTTATGTCGCACTTAAATGTGATCCATGTCTAGATCAACGTGTATATAATTTACCAACTGCAACAGAGGCAGCTGGAATATGGGTTCAAGATAATTCCGCTGATATTGTTTCTACGCCACATATTCGAGTATATACCCATAGTAATAAGACGCAATCCATGAATTACTATTACGGATGTTATGATCCTTTGCAATACCCATTATTATTTCCTTATGGTCAAAACGGGTGGCATTGTGGTATTAAAAAAATTGCACGGACAAATCAACGTTATTGTAAACATGAAGAATTACCAAGTGTAAAGAACATGTGTTCCATTGATGGATTTCTTGACATGGAAGATCAGGTCCTGAAAAAAGGAAAACGAAAAAGAGAAACAGTTTCTTGCTGTGAGTATTATTGTTACAAATTGCAGATAAGAAAGAATGACAAGAATGAAGTATTACATTGCCGAAGATTATTTCAACAATTCATAGTAGATGTGTTCGTAAAGCTAGAATTACAAAGATTAGATTTTTATTTTTTTAATCAATATTTATTTCGGATAGATATGCTACAAGAAATTATTGATTTTCTAAGACTTGGTGAAACTGTAGCTTCCAAAATTGGAAAAAAAACATTTATTCCTGTTACTTTCATAGGAGGGCCGAGAGATATTCGTCGGCGGTATATGGATGCTATCGCATTAGTCCAACGTTTTGAAAAACCTGATCTTTTTATAACTATGACATGTAGTCCATCTTGGCAAGAAATAAACCAGCACTTGTTATCAACTGATGAAACTCAAAATAGACCTGATTTAGTATCGCGAGTATTCAGGGCAAAAGTAGAGGAATTGAAAGCAGATATTTTGAAAAGAAAAATCTTTGGGAAAGTTGTTGCTTTTATGTATACTATAGAATTTCAAAAACGTGGTCTTCCACATGCTCATTTTCTGATCATACTTAGTGATGAATATAAATTATTAACACGTGAATCTTATGATAAGTTTGTCCGTGCTGAATTACCCGATGCTGATACCGAAAAACATCTTTTTTCGTGATACCGAAAAACATCTTTATTCGCGTGTGCTTCAACATATGATGCATGGACCATGTGGTGACTTATATCCCACAAATTCATGTATGGGGAAAAAGGGCCTCTGCAAATTCAATGAACGACACCCTGCCTTTGCAATTGAATAAAAAGCCAAATTTTTAACTCCGTCTCTGTTGGAGTTATACTACAACACAGCCGGTCCCAAGCCCGGACAAAGAAGGAGGGTTTTTCAGTTTATTACAAGTTAGATCCTTCGCTACTGTACTTTCATTTGTAGGTATATCAAAGAGATCCTATCAAGTGAAATGTTTTCACATGGTGGTACTAAAAAATTCTACGACACTAACCAAGTTATAATACTACAACAAGAACAATAACCCAGTGTATTCCCACAAGTGGGGTCTGGGGAGGGTAATATTTACGCAGACCTTACCCCTATCCCGAGGGGCAGAGAGGCTGTTTCCAGGAGGCCCTCAGCTCAAGAAGGAAACAGGTGACAAAAACAAGTGACGATATATTAGTACTAGCAATAGACTCATAATAAATAACATAAAATACACAACATAACATAAAATAACATAAATAATAAAATAACAACAATATACGGAATATAGGAAATACGAGAAAGAGGAAAGTATACTAATATCTAGAATATAATGTCCTGCATCAGTAGCTGATCCGTAGCATCCTAAGCCTAACTACTAACTGTCTAGTCTCACTCTAGCGCGCTGTAGAAATATTCCCAACTTCCCCCTAACCTACAACCTTAATGCTCGACCTCCACAATCCCCTATCAAGGGCCATGTCCCCAGTAATCCTAAGTCGCGTCATGTCCTGCCTGATCACCTCTCTCCGATATTTTTTAGGTCTCCCTCTACCTCTCCTCGTGCCCACCACCGCCAGTCGCTAACAACTTCTCACCGGTGCATCAGTGCTCCTCCTCTGAATGTGCCCAAACCATTTGAGTCTTGCTTCCCGCATCTTGTCCTCCATGAGCGCCACGCCCACCCTCTCTCGAATAACTTCATTCCTAATCTTATCCATCCTTGTATGCCCACACATCCACCTCAACATCCTCATCTCTGCTACTTGCATCTTCTGGATGTGTGAGTTCTTAACCGGCCAACACTCGGTCCCATACAACATGGCCGGTCTAACCACTGCTCTATAAAACTTACCTTTTAGTAACGGTGGCACTTTCTTGTCACACAGGACTCCCGTTGCTAACCTCCAATTCATCCACCCCACCCCTATACGGTGTGTGACATCCTCGTCGATCTCCCCGCCCTCCTGAATAACTGACCCAAGGTACTTGAAACTACCCTCCTCCATATAATAGAGTAGTTTTATTCTCCATCTTAGATATTGTTTCATTTCTTGATTTTATATTGGATATCTCTGGATATTTCAACGATCTGATTAGTTTTACAACTCAAAAATATCCAACTGCTTGGAAAATTTCTAAGCCTTCTTCAACTTCGTTATCCTTTTCCTTCAACTATTATGAATACATACTAATAATTAACATCATATATATTTGACGAAAACTAACTGATTCAGTTTATAAGGAATTACATCTTTCACTGCTATATTTTTGTTTGTTAAATCGATTATAATTACACTTTACCACAAGTTTTCATGGCTACTTGTATTGTTTTTCATTGTGTCTTGCAGTTTCCTTTTCAGTTGTGTTGAAAAGGATAGCATTGGTAGCATGTATGGCACTCCAAAAGGCTTCTCTTAGTAGCAAATCAGCCGGAAGAATTGGACTAAGCACATGTTTTGTGCTGCAGTCATTTTTCACTCTTCGCCGTGGGCTCCTGTGTCATTTCTTTTTCTGAAATCATGTGGAGAAGAGTCTCCTAATTGTAATAGTTAAACTTTAGCAAATGACCTAGGGGATATTGAGCTTCTCATAAAAATGTTGTTGCCTTCTAAGGCTGTATTCTGGTCCGGGAACGGTCCGGGCCTAACGGGCCTAGGCTTAGGCGGGTCGGGTTCTGGCGGTCCCAGGCCAAACGGTTCCAAATGATGGAACCGGCCCGTTGTGGGCCTAAGCCCAGATGGTCTCGGGCTAAATGGGCCGGGCCCACGGGCCTAAGTGGTCCGGGCTATTTTTTTTTTCAAAATTTTTTATCTAAGATATTTTCTTGTAAATTTTATATATATATATTTTTTTTTATATGCATATATATATATATATATAGCTTATATATAGTATATATGCATATAAATAGTATATAGAGTATATATATATATATGTAGCTTATATATATTATGTAGTATATATATATATATATATATATATATATATGTATATATATATATTCAAGGGAATGTCTTATAATTTTTATTATTACGACATTAACAAAAATGACAATATCTTTTTTAGTCTTCCTCCCCCCAATGGAATGAGCACAACAAGGTGCTAATACCACCATTAAAAAGAAAAAAAACTAATGAAAATGTGCCAAAATACAAGTTACATATTAGTCTACCTAGTATCTCTAACAAATTTTATAAATCCTTCAAGGTTCGGAGGAATTTCCGTTGGTGGTGGCGGAAAAGAAGCTTGTTCATCACCGCTTCCGGGCGAAGCAGCATCCTCCGCAAGTTCTGCTATCATTTCTTCATAAGCTTCGTCTATCTCCGGTTGTGATTCAGCAAGTCCAAAATTTCTTCTTTCCGAATGGATCCAATCTCTGAAGAGTACTGATTTTTCCAAGCTCTCCCTAATAGACGCTCTATGATCACCTATTTGAAGTCTCGCTTGACTGAAAGCGCTCTCTGATGCCACTGTTGAAGCTTGAACACATAAAATATCTCGAGCCATCCTTGAAAGAACCGGATAGTGTTTTTCTTTGGCCTTCTACCATTCCAAAAGATCAAAGGTGCCGTCTGGATTCTCCTTTTCAAGGCCCCGCGACAAATAAATTTGAAGCTCATTTAGATGTGAAGTATCATCAATATTATCACCTTGAGAACCCCTGAACTCCGTCCAAGAACTAAGTGCTTTTAGTTCTGCATTTCTTTTAGATGATTGCGAACTAGACGAAGTAGGAGTTGGAACATGTGGTCTAGCATGATCTAAGGCTTGTTGATAAGCATTATAAATTGTTTGAGCATTTATTTTAATTGAGGCTTTTGCATCTGCAAGTGTAGCTAATTCCTCATCTGAAAGATCTAAAGCCCAATAAATACTTGAATACCAAAAGTGAGGACCTCCTAATTTCATGGTAGGATTTAACATGACAGCAACATCATAAATAGGGGGGATAAGGAAAAAATATTTTTTAATCTTTTCTTTCATTGCATTTATAGCAAGTTGATAAATTACCCCACCCTCTGAAAATTGAACAAATAAATCACATAATGCTGCAATATAAACTAAACAGTTTGAAATAGTAGGATAATATTGCCCAGACAATTCATTTGTAGCAATATGAAATTGTTGTAAAAAATTTATAAGAATTTTAACATTCGTCCAATATTGATTTGTAAGGATTTCATCATCACACTCACCACCAACACGAGCATTAAACGTTGCATTTATTAGGTTTCTATATTCATATGCAACAACTAAACTTTCGTACATACAATTCCATCTAGTCGGACAAGCTTTAGGAACCTTTCTTTCTCTAAGGCCGAATTCATCACATTTTTTAAAATATTCTCTAAGTCTACTTCTACGGTTTGAATAAAAAAGTCAATTAAGAGCCATTTTAACCTTTTTAATTTCCAAATTTAAAATTTTCATACCATCACCGACGATGAAATGGTAAATATGACAAATACATCTAACATGAAAATAATTACTAAATGCAGGATTTAGTGTAGTTGTAAGTAAGCCTATAGCATTAGTGTTACTAGAAGCATTATCCATAGAAATTGATATTATTTTATCTCTAATGCAAAAATATCTACAAATATCTGCAACTGTGTTAGCAATAAAGTTACTTGTGTGATGTGAATTAATTATTCTATATGCAATAATACGTTTTTGCATTTTCCATTCTCCATCAATCCAATAAGTGGTAACAGTTAGATAATCACAGTCATTACCGCTTTTACCAATATCAGTAGTAATAGCAATGCGACAATCTATATGAGTAAATAAATAGCGCAAATATTGTTCACATTCATGTTTATATTTATAAATATCGCTCTTTACGGTTGCGCGAGGCCATCCTTTATAAGTAGGATTAAAAACTCTTCTAATATAATGCACAAAATGAGGGTTAGAAGGAAAACTATAGGGTAAGCACATAACAGTAACCATTTTTGCCAATTCTTCACGATCTTTATTTGGATCGTAATATAAAATGCTACCAGTAACAGTGTTAATTCCCGGTTGAACTAGATTTGACCCTGTACTAGGGTTAACCGTAATATCTACACTTGTCCCTTCTTGCGCAGCTTTCATTTGTAAATATCTAGCTTTATCTCTAGGGTGTTTCAATATGTGTCTAGTAAGAGTACTCGTACCGCTACGGTCTCCAGTATATTTATGAGTCATCAAAGACCCACATGTTTTACACTTAGCCTTATTTTGTTCTCTTAGTTGAGTAAAAAAGTTCCAAACAAGTGATGTTTCGGGGCGTTTAGAACGTTGTCTATTAAAAGTAGGGGTTACTACAGGAGGGTCAGGCGGGGCATCAGTTAGGTTATAAACAGGACTAGTAGGTGTATCATCTAAATCCGATTGCGTTTCATCAAAATCATCATTTTCCTCATCATTTTAAAATATAGTTTGATTAGGATAAAGAGCATTCATAACTTCTTCATTTAATTGTTGACCTGGTGCAACATCATGGCAAAATTGTCTATCGGAAAATTGAAAACAAGTATTATCATTATCTAGAATAACAGGTGGAGGAGGACGGGTAACAAGTCTGGGTCGGGGAGCCGGGGGAAGAGTAATATCTTGGCGACTAGATTCACCAATTTTAGATTTTCCCTTACCACCAAATATTTTTTTCAAAGAAAATGCCATATTAATTATAATTGTACAAACTAAAACAAACAAAATTATAATATTAAAACTTAAGAGTTGGAACGAGTATACCGAATTGACGAATAACTTCTTGAAAATTGAATATCTTTAAAGATTTGAATACTTCAATTCACCTTCACAATTTTTCACGAAATTGCAATAATAAAGTAAGCAATTATAGAAGAAAATTAGAGAGAGATTGATGAATTTGTGAGAAAAAATGAAAGAATGAGGGGGTATTTATAGTTGAGAATAGGGAAAAAATGTAATTATAAAAAGTTTGGGGTTAAAACAAAGTTTGAAGGCCAAATGGCTATTTTTGAAAATGCCAAACGGCTAAAAATGCAGGCCAACGGCTACATTTTCAAATTCTGACCGTTGGCCCTTTTAAAAAAAGAATTCTTTTAAAAAATAGCCATTGGGCCCATTTGGCCCTTTTGGCCCGGTTGAACCGGCCCAGGCCCGCCTGCCGGTCCCGGGCACGCGGGCTTTTTGGTAAGGACCGGCGCACTGTGGACTTTTAGACTGCTAGAGACCGGCCCATTTGAACCGACCCGTTTGGCCCGTTTGGCACGCGGTCCCGGGCCGGTCCCGGCCCACAATACAGCCTTATTGCCTTCTTCGCCGCAATTTCATAGTCGCATGATAATGCTTCTCAAGCTTTCCAGGTGAGTATCGTGTAATTCTATAATTCTTACGGCTTAATTATCAATGTTATTAGCTGTGAATTCCAACTCTTTGGTATTTGATAATAAATCCTTTAATAAAAAGAAGTGCTATGTTCTGTGTTACTTTCAACTGCCTTGTCATAAAGAGAGTATTACCTATCAGATTAAGATGTGCCTTATTCATTTCTTTTTCTATCATCGTAGTTTTAGTGAAGAACAACTTTCAAGACTACTTACAGTGTTTTTTTTCTTGCTGTGCTTAATATCTATTGCCATACTTTCTATTGTTATAACTTCAATGTTTACAGGCTCAACTGCTTAGTCAGTATTAGAAGAACTTGTAGCAAACACTCTATACTTTCTCCTACTGTGGCTGCGTCATTTATGAAATTGCGAATTTTCAACAGTTGAAGCTCTTAAAGTAGATAGTGAATGTCGATTTAGACTTTTACAGTTGAAGAGATGTCCTGGGAAGCAGAAAAAGTCACGTACGGTACTGCTTATTATCATATTACTTACAAAAAGGATTGAGCTATCAGAATAGTTTATTGATCTTCCTGGGCATCACTGATATTCTTCGATGTTCCAATTTTGCTATTGCTCCGAAAACATATTTGTTGAAAATGCTATTACAATCATGTCCAAATAATGTGAGTAGATAAAACTACAATTGTATTCTTGGCCTTCATGTTCCAGCTATCAGATGACAAGGCCTTAGTATCTGAGCATATCAGATGTGCTCAGGCTCCACATTTCGTTATTTCTCATATCATTTGATGAAAATTTCCTGTATTCATAAACTAACAATCATAGTAGCTAATTGAAGATCTATAATCTTTAATGTGGAGCGCGAAATTTTTTAGAACTTTGGTTGGACCCGGGCAAAGCCCGAGCTAACCTTACTAGTTGGTTTATATGTGCCGACAAATATGATTTTTTGGTCCCTGCAACTTGTGTTTATTACTTACTGGATTACGTTTTCTTGAAAGCAATATGAAGTGAAAGGTTTGTTTGGTATGGACTTCCAAAGAAGTAATTAATTGCTTTGGCATTTTCCAGCGATCAAAATTTTTCTTTTCTCGCACTCTTATCCGTTTTCTTGGGCTTATCACCAATTGTGGGTCCCACTTTTTTGGGCTAAGGCCCAATTGGACGGGCCTCTTCCATATGGCGTCTCTTTTTTAAATTTATTGTCACCAACACCAACCCCTCGTTTTCTACATAGCAAATGCAAGTATCTAGTAGTTGAACCTCTTCCTTATCGTCTATGTAAAATAGATGAAGAATAAATAAAAATAATTCAAGCACATGTAGCATAACGCAGTATGTTAAATTTCTAGTTCAACACCTAACTATGGAGTAACAGAGAATTGATTAAATCTTTCTGTATACGGTGGGAATTGGGGCTACCCGATTCCGTTTTTCGATGGGAAAAGTGATATCACGTCGGAAGACCAGGACGTCAAGCTCGGGGTCGAAGTTCCTTTCAAAGGCCAAGCTCGATAACACTTACCGAGGTCAGAAGAAAGCATGCTTCGAGATGATGCCGGTATCAGTCACTAACGGAAAAAGTGAGATATCCGCGACGGGCCGTAGATCACGGCGTGAATTTCGGAATGGATTGGTCTTCAGCGGTTAAACAGTTGTCAAATATGATTTTCTACTATAATTAGAAGTGTACCTTATTTAGGACTCCCCTACTATAAAAAGGGGGGATCCCGTGCATTTGTAAGACATTGATCAGTGCTCATTGATCAGAAAATATACGCTTGTTATTCTCTTGCTATTCCACTTACTCTTCATCAGAGTTGTTTCATCATTTGTAATTTCCATTATCACACCTCGAGATTATCACGGTTCGAGGTCGAGATTTAACTTACACGCTGGTTTAATCTTTTTTATTCCTTCATTTATTTATTTAATTCCTTGTTTATCAATTGACATTGAATTAAATCACATATCCTTAAACCTACAATACAAGTTTAATTGTTACTCGAATTTTAGGGTAAACAGGTTGGCACCCACCGTGGGGCTAAGGATAATAGTGATTGTTTCAACGATGATTCTGATAACACACGTTATTTTCACACTCGTTCTTGTCAAGTATTTTTTCTCTCAAGTTAAAGCGTGTCAAACTCACAAAACGCACCCGTACATCGTGATGATGGTCTCGGATTTCACGGGGAAAACGATAATGTAATTGCTCCAGGAGCCGGGGTGCCACCGGTTAATCTCGGGGAGCAACGGTCGCCGATCTAGTCGACATTGGTTCGCACGTTGCTCTAAATACGGACCTAGGTGCGGACCCCGAAGGGAGTGTACATAGGGAAGGCCGATCAGGTGGCCAAGGTACACATGGCAGAGAAGACGGGGGAGTTAGCCTCCAGGTAATATTCGAGATGCTACAGACTCAGCAGGCCGCTATTTCCCAATTGCAAAACCAACATAGGACTTCAAGTGTGGTTGAGCCAGAAATCACTCGTCGTACCGAGCCAATGCCAGAAAGGTCGAATGGTACCGAATCAAGTACCGATCCTTCAATAATGAAAATGCTCGAGGAGCTCACCAAAAGAATTGACTTGTGAGAGAAGAAAATCGAAGATCATGATAAACAAGTGAAAACATACAACTCCCGAGTTGATCAGATACCGGGGGCATCCCCGATCCTAAAGGGATTGGATTCGAAAAAGTTTGTGCAAAATCCTTTTCCTAAGAGTGCGGCTCCGAAGCCCATCCCTAAGAAGTTTCGTATGACGGATATATCTAAATACAACGGGACCACTGATCCTAATGAACACATCACTTCGTACACATGCGGAATGAAAGGAAATGATTTAGATGATGATGAGATCGAGTCCATTTGTTGAAAAAATTTAGGGAATTTTTGTCAAAGGGAGCAATGATTTGGTATCACAACCTGCCACCAAATTCCATCGACTCATTTGCCATGATAGATGATTCTTTTGTAAAGGCACATGCCGGGGCTATAAAGGTTTTAATAAGAAAATTGGACATTTTTAAGATAAGACAAAGGAAAAACGAAATGTTGAGGGAGTTCGTATCCCGATTTCAAATGCAACGCATGGAGTTGCCACCGGTGATAGATGATTGGGCCGTTCAAGCTTTCAACCAAGGGTTGAACGAGAGGAGTTCAATAGCATCACGATAGTTGAAACAAAATTTGGTCGAGTATCCAGCTGTAACTTGGGCAAATGTGAGCAACCAATATCAATCGAAGATCAAGGTCGAGGACGACCAATTAAGAGCTCCTTCCAGTTTAGTACATCCAAATAGGCTGGCAGTTAAAACCCCGAGAGATGTCGACAGGGAGCCAAGGTCGAACAGAGAATGATATCGACCATATGTCATAAATCGAAGGAATAATGGTTCAGGACACAATCCCTCCCAGAATGATCGAAGAAGTGATTGAGGGAAGAATTCTCAGGGACTTTTGAGCAAAAGTGGTTTTGATAAGCATGCCGATCTCGTGGAGTCACCTTGGTTATAGGAGTATAACTTTAGCATCGACGCATCGGGCATTGTATCGGCAATCGGAAGGATCAAAGATACTAGGTGGCCCAGACCCATACAGACTGATCCTTCCTAAAGAAACCCGAATTTGATGTGCAAGTATCATGGCACGCATGGTCACAAAATCGAGGATTGCTGGCAATTGAGGGAAGAGGTAGCACGTCTATTCAATGAGGTTCACCTTCGAGAGTTCCTCAGCGATCGAGCTAAGAATCATTTAAGAGAAAGGGACGCCAACAAAAAAATGAACAGGAGGAACCCCTGCATGTCATTCATATGATCGTCGGTGGGGTCTATGTTCCACACGGACCCATATTCAAACACACTAAGGTGTCAATCACTAGGAATGAACCCGAGATTATGTGCCTGAAGGCTCCTTATCATTCAACAACGAAGAAGCAGATGGCATTTCTCAGCCACACAACGGTGCTCTAGTAATTTCTATCTTATTAAATAAAGTTCAAGTTAAGCGTGTTTTAGTGGACAGGTAGCTCGGCGAATATCATCCGATCGAGGGTCGTGGAAAAACTTGGCCTACAAGTGTGACGACCCAAAGGGTCATCACCTGTTTCCTCATTCATTCTGTGCTTTCGAGGCCTTGAAAACCTCGTTTTTACTTGCCTCGATTTGCGTGCGCAGTCCGGGCGCGTAGCCGGAAAAGCTTTTATGTTGAAATATGTGAATTCTGTGAAAAATTTGAAGAGTTTTGATATTAATATGTTTAAGGTTGACTTCGGTCAACATTTTTGGTAAACGGACCCGGACTCGAGATTGGACGGTCCCGGAAGGTCCGTAGAAAAATATGGGACTCGGGCTCGAATTCCGAGGTCTAGAGCCCGAGAAATGAATTTTTCTGTGAAATTGTTTTTCTGAAGTTATTAAGGAAAATGGAAATGAAAATTGATTAAAAGACTGTGGTATCGGGCTCGTATTTTGGTTCCGACGCCCGGTACAAGTCTTAAATATGTGTTATGCGCTTTCTGTAAAGTTTGGTCGAAATCGGACGTCGTTCGACGTGTTTCGGACCTAAATATCTAAAGTTTGAAGTTTATGAAGTTTGAAAGGAAAATGATGATTTTGAGGCTTGATCCAATGATTTTGAGGTTATTTTGGGCGATTTGATCGCTCGAGTAAGTTCGTAGGACGTTACTGAGTTAGTGTTTGTGATTGGTTAGGAGCCCCGAGGGTTCGGGAGTGAATTGGAGGTGGTTCGGGGTGTTTTTGGCCTTAGAGTTGTTGCAGAAGTTCTGCTTCTGTTGTTCAGAGAATTTGTTCTCTGCGATCGCGATTCCATTCCTGCGATCGCATAGAGTCTTCTCCAGGCATTTCCAAATTTCTTCAACGCGATCGCATAAGTTGTCCCGCGATTGCATAGTCTGACCAGTCTCTTCAATGCGATCGCACTCACCTCTACGCGATCGCACAGCTTTACACTTCACCCAAAAGTCCTGGCTTCCCTTCTTCTATGCGAACGCACGAATTGTTCTGCGATCGCGGAAGCCAAGCTTCCACTCCTCTATGCGATCACATCAATTGCCCCGCGATCGCATAGACCAAAAACGCCCAGTTATTTTAAAGCCTAAAAATAGAACCAGTGACGGGATTCCTTCATTCTTTTCACACGAGCTCTCCTCTTAAACCCTCCATAGACGAAATTCAAGCTCTCCTTCCTCCATAACTCTTTGGGTAAGTAATCTTAACATCATTCCCTCATTATTTCTTCATCTAATTACTAATTTCCTAGCCCTAAATCATGAAAACAAAGTAGAAATTAAGGGTTTTGGGCAGAGTAAGGTTTTGAGAATTTTGGGTGATTCAACCTCAATTTGGGGTCGAATCTTAAAACAAATTATATATTTGCACTCGTGGGGTTATGGGTGATCGGGTTTTGGTCCGAGCCTAGAGTTTGGACCATGTGGGCCCGGTGTCTAATTTTGGTATTTTTGGAAGAATGCTAGAAAATTCATATCTAGGCTATGGGATGTTGCCCTTGAGTCTTTATTGATATTATTGAATTAATCATGCCTAGATATCACTGTTTCGGAGTCGGATTGTAGAGGAAAGGCGGTCTTTGAAGGTTGATTGCTATTCTTGGGGCCGAGGTATGTGTTTGGTTTAACCCTAGCTTGAGGGAATAGGAGTTGAGTCTTGTTGCTAATTGCTATGTGATCGAGTGCGATGTATAGGCATGGTGACGAGTATCTATACATTGGTGTCTAGCATGACCGTGAGTCCTTATAATGTGATTATCATGAACTGATTGTGAATTCCATGTTTATTGGAGTATTTCTATGTGTTGTGAA